TGTTTTTCACTAGATGCTTTTTTAGCTAATGTTTGTTTGTACATGACCCTGTATGATGGGGGCTGCTAGCGTCCGATTCGGCGGATGGTAATCTCGGTCCGGTGACTTCCTGCCCAAATTGGCGCCGGCCAGGAGCGCACGCGAATAATAGAAGAGGGTAGGAACCAGGCATTGGCAGATTAATTTAGACAGACAAGGCCCACCTTATTCATCTCGCTTTCAAAAAATTTGAACGAACTAAAAAATCATAACTACTAAACCAAACATCCAAATTAAATTCTGATTACACCATCAGGTTCCTTGCAACAAATCCTTCAAAACAAGATCTCATATGGATATATTTAGGTAAAAAAAATTTAACGAACATTTGTCTTATGAAGTTAGAACATTTTTCTTTTATTGAAGCGAGACGATGTTCTAGGTTTAAAAACAATGTTCCGTCTTTGTAAGAAGAATATTCTCAGTTTAGGTTTATGGAATTGGTATTGTAAGATACATAGAAATAAATAAATACTTAACATAAATAAAAAAATAATGAAATCTAGAGCAAAACATAAGAAAAAAATAAAAACATGTAATTGAGAAAAATTTAAAAGAATATCACATAGTTACTTTTCAAACATCTTAAAATATATTATAAAACATCTTGTGTATACTAAGTGAACACCACTAAATACACCATAGAACATAAAAAACATAATTGAACAACATATATATACTATATGAACATCACATAATACATCACATCATTATATACTACATGAATATCATATGTATACTACGTGAACATCATAAAATACATCATGGAACGTCACATCTATACCACGTGAACATAAAAAACATGATAGAACATCACATTTATAACACATGAACATCACAAAAAATATCATAGAACATCAAATGTATACTATATGAACATCATAAAAAACGCCACAGAACATGACATAATATACCACGTGAACATCACAAAAAATATAGTAGAACATCACATCTATACTATATAAACATAGCATCTCATGGAATATAAAAATAAAAATTAAAAATTAAAAAAATAATTTTATAGTAATAATAATAATAATAATAATAATATAAAAAATGAAAAGAATAGCAAAGAAGAGAAAACACACATAAAACATGAATAACAAATGATAAATATATAAAAAATAAGAAATAAATATGAACACAAAAAATAAAATAATTAAGTAGAGTAAAATAACACGGAATAGAAAAATAAGAAAAGAAAAAGGAAACAGAAAAAAATATAAGAAATAAAACAAGAGAAACTAACGTAACAGCCTACTAGGAGTTAATTAAGAAGAAAATAAGCAAAAAAAAAAACGCCAACTACCAGCCTATATCGAGATCAGAAAAAAAACATATGTACCAAGAACATACAAAATAAAAAAGTGAAATATAACATGAAACAAAAAATAAAAGATAAATTGAAGAAAGGAAATAAAAAAATAATAAAAAAGAAAGAAAAGAAAAGAAACATACATAATATAAAAAATGAAAAGAATAATAAAAAAATTACATAAAACATAAAAGAAAATAAAAATAAACAAATAAAGCATGAAAAGGAAAAAGAGAAAGAAGAAAGAAAAGAAAAGAAAAAAAAAATAAAAAAAAATGAAGCATAAAAAGAAAAGAAAAAAGAAAAGAAAAAGAAAAGAAAAAAAAAAAGAAAACATACGTACAACATAAGAAAATACACGTACCTGCGCCCTCGCTCGTGCACGTGGTGAGCCGGCCTCGGTGCAGCGTCCGTACAAGCTTGCAGCGGATGATTGGCGCGCTCCCGTTCGGCGCACGGCTTCCGTCCGGCCGTTCGGACCGGAAGAGTTCCGCTGTATGATCCCTTTTAATTGGAAATTGAAATACTGTAGTGAACTCCCTCGCAGTTTTTCCCTAAAGAAACGTGATCGGTGTGACGGTGGTGGACAAGAATTTTTAGCTGAAAAGAAAAAAAAACTAGGTTCCCGGAGACCCTACTTGGCTTATAAGCCATACTTTTTTAATTAGCGAACCATATTTTTCTCTCACAACGAATCAATCGACCGTACTTATCAGTCAAACGAACATGCCACGTACACGCCGGACCCTCGGCGAGGGCCACCCTAGCCGTATAGCCCACGTCCCCCGCGCCGTGCCATCCCTGTCCTGTCCGCATCTTTTGGCCGCTCGCGACGACACGATCCGGCCACTCCACTCCCACTCGACACCGCCGTCGTCGCGCCCACACAGAGAAAGCAGCAACAAGCAAGCAAGCGCGAGCGTGAGCGCGAGCGCGCGGCCGACCTCGAACGTTCAGATGATAAGGTACGTGTGGTGTGCCGATACGATGCGCATGGCGCCATCTCGTCTTCGACGATCGAGAACGATCGCCGGTCGGGAGCCGGCCCGGGCGATACGACAACCCAAGCTCCCATCGGCGGCCGGCGACTCGTCACATCGGCCGGCCGGCTGGTCCCTGGCCGGCGGACGCGTCTTGAAGATTAAGGTGGCGAGCCAACCGTACGTACAGTGCACACGCCCCGGTTTGCACGTCCTCTGTCTCATGCCGAATTGCCTGCCGGAGATACTTCGGTTTCACTGCACATCAGCGCAAGTACATACATGCGACGACAACGTTGTGCTGTGCAGCAGCAGTGCACGGCAGGACCGGAGGTAGCCATAGCGTGGTTGGTGCAGATTGACACGCGGGGCGGGTGGATGCGTGCCCCTGCTCCGACCGGCACAATGATTTCCGCCGCGAGTGCGGTCAGGCAGTGAACGGCGAACTGGTGATAGGTGACCGGCCATCCATCGGCTGCCCTGCCATTGCCAAGCTGTCTCATGCAATCGCGACTCGCGAAGGCATCAATCAGTGCCCAGCAGCCTACACGGATCCGCATCGCCACACTGTTCACTCGCTCAGCCTCCACAAAAGTCCTCCCACGTTATCGTCAGGACACCGTCGCATCACATCCTATGTTTGCTACGCTCAAGTACTCCACTCGTCTCCTGCAGTAGGTTGTAGCCTTGTAGGTTGATTGCAGAGGGTAGGATAGATTTTCCTGAGCTGATGAGCGTTGGGTGACAAAATCTGGAGCTCTGTCAGCTAAGCATGTGCTCCTAGGTTTTAGGTGGCATCATCATCGAGAGGGTTGCCAAGTGGGGGTGTTTAGTTGGTCAAAGACAAACTTTACATAGTGAAGATTATCTACTATAGCATTTTGTTTGTATTTGTGAATTATTGTTCAAACATTGATTAATTAGACTTAAAATATTCGTCTCGTAAAGTTAAAGCAAACCGTGCAATTAGTTTTTGATTTCGTCTACATTTAGTACTCCATGCATGTACCGCAAGTTTGATGTGACGGGAAATCTTCTTTTTACATTTTCAGAAATTTTGAGGAACTAAACAAGGGCTGCCAGTTGTCCTTGAACACTCAACCTTCCTCTTGAACGTTGAAAAGTTCGACAGAAAATGTTGGGGGGAGTTAGAAAATATCTTTTTCCTTTGGTATGACAAGCAATCTTCCGTTTCACGTAGGCGGCTCCTGGTTTTCAAACATCATCATTTTTACGCGCACAACAAATGTTTATACCGCTTGAACTGTTTTCATTCCTAATGTGAGAAAATGGTATTAATAATTGTAAAAAATGACCAAGGAGCTGGGAGTGAGATGAATGGAGTGGAAGGTGGGAATTGAATCGAGCATGTTCAACGTATGTAATAAAAATGATTCTACAAATGGAAAAATATTCCACGCGTAAAAGGAATTTTTAAAAAATCAATATAAATGCCCCGTTCACTTCGCTGACTGTTCTGGCTGATTTGTTGTGAAGAAAAACACTTTTCAGCTGAAAAAACAAGCTGAAAAGTACGGATTATAAGACAAACGAACGGGGCCAAAGAGACACTTTGTTAACTACTCCTTCATTTTCAAATTATAAGTGATACATAGCTTTTATTACATATATAGACATATCCTATATCTAGGAATCAATGTACCTATAAAAATTAGAATGACTTATAATTTGAAACGGATGGAGTACCATCCAGGTGAGACGATATATATATATATATATATATATATATATAGATATAGAGAGAGAGAGAGAGAGAGAGAGAAAGAGAGAGGGGACATTTTAGGTTTAGAAACGGGAATTAAGAAATAATATAAATGTATAGTGTACAGAAAACAAGGAGAGAGATAGAGACAAATAAAGATACAAATGTACTATTGAGAAAAGAAAAGGGTGTATTGGAAAAAGAGAAATATGCATCGAGAAATGAAATTATGAGAATGGCAACTATTTTGAGATAAAATTTGAATGGTAAGGTCGAAGTATTTTGAGATGGAGAGAGTATGAAGTAGCGTTTGAGATGTCTCCCTGAGGCCCTTTGATGATTCATTTCCCAAACACGAAACATCTGTCAGCAACAGTTTTTTGCTTTCGGAACTGAGAACTTGGAGATGCAAAAACGTGTTAGGCCCCTCAAACGTCTTATTGTTAATGGGTTTTTTAATGGTTGCAAAATTGTACCGAGAACATATCCTGTACTCCCATGCACTTAGGTGCTCCCGTGCCATGTCTTGGTCATCAGCTTCATGCCAGGGAAAAACACATGGGTTTTGATTTGGTCCAATAAATGAGATGTTAAACGGGTAATTTGCCACAAATTGTTGCTGTTAACCACCTAACAATGCATTGTTCCAGCTGTTTGCACTGGGCCGATGCATGCATAGTTACACAGAGCCAGAGCGAAGACAGAGCACAGAGAACGCCGTACCTCTAATGTACAAAGACAGTTACTACAGTAAATCGCCTCACAAGATCAAATTCCCATGGGCACAATTCCTCACCACTGTACTGCATGTACATACTGCGAAATCAAAATTACGTGAAAAAAAAAGTCTAGATGAAATATTATTATATCCATCTTCCTCTTGAATCTTGTCGCTTCGCCAACCAAAAGTGTTCTTGCAAGAGCCCATTCTTGCGTGTGGTGTTCAGCATTCGGTGCGAGCGGTCAGCAAGGATTTCTTGCAGTGGAGGATGGCGTCGCGCACGGCGACGTCGGCGTTGCCGTGGCACCAGTACTCCGCGGCGCCAGACGACGTCGATCGGCGCGCTGGGGTGGTCGTGGCCACCGCCCTGCTGGAGCGTGGCGCGGAGAACACTCGCCCTGGCACTGGCACTGGCAGCCGCAGCGCCCTCGCCTTGCGGCACAGGGGCACGAGGAAGCGCAGGTACCTGAGCAGAATCCTCCGCGTCGCCAGCAGCGGCTTGTTGGCGCCGCCTGCGCCTGGGCGCGGCGAGGCGGAGCTGATCACGAACGCCGGCGTGCTGTGCGCCGTGTGGAACGCCGGCGACGAGCACGCCGACGCGTCGGCGTACGACGAGCCGCCAATAACGTCACGAGTGCCGCCCTCGCAGGGAAGGTGGAGGAGGCTGTCGTCGGAGAAGATCACGAGGCCGGCGCTGCTGGCCAGCAGCGGGGAGCAGCACGCCCCAGCGCGCGGCGGCAGGCCGAAGTGGAATCCGTCTTCCTCCGACGTCGTCCACCGCATCGAGAACAGCTCCTCGGGGTCCATGTCAACGAAGGACGCCGTGGAGCTGCTAAAAGACTCGCCGAGGGCGGCGGCATCGACGTCCAGGCGCTCGAAGGATGGCGCCGACGACCGCGGCTTGCACCTGGGCCATCCGCCGCGGGAGAAGCTGTCGCTGCGAGACGGCGAGGCCTCCATGGAGAGAGAGAGAGAAAGAGCAAGCGCACGGCACGGCAAGGCGAGCGAGAGAAGCTCTGGTTCGTGTAGCTAGGCGTGTGAGCCGAGACGAGTCGAGGCGAGCGGCGAGTGAGTGGGGCGACGAGGATGATATAGTGGCAGGCGGGTCGCCGATCGGTGTGGGGGCGCGAGCTGGTGAGTGAGAACAAACAAGTAGACGTCTGGGGACGACAAGGCGTTTGGTGCCATGTCCAACCATGCATGTCTCCCGCGCCCCCTTGCTCTTCCAAACAGTGCGCTTTCACGGTCCCAGACCTTAGGTACAATCTGCCCTTGTGATTTCTTCAGCATTCGAACGATTTCCTTCATCCATTCATGTAAAAGTTCGGCAAAAACTTGTGCATTCGATGCCAGGCTGACACAGATCACGTGAGATGCGCTCAGTTTTCAGACGGAGGCTTGACGGGCTAATCTGGTCCAAAACAAGAACTGGGCTCCCGTAAAAGTTGCCAGTGAAAGATGAATACCCAAGACATGCATGGTTGGTATGTCGTGTCGTGCTGGACCTGGACCAGAGCACCAGACAAATGACAAAACTGTGGACTAGACTGCTACTAATCAGCGGTGCTCTTCCAAAGCCGTCAGAGACAAGGTCATCAATGTTGGCAGCAATAATACGAGATTAGTCGGGTGGGTGAGATAATCCTGACAAAACCCGGGCAGCATTTCAGCAGGCAGCATCCAGCTCATGCCAGTGCCAGGTCCTACATCCACACGGAACAAGGCTCAACGCTCGTCGGCCTTCACATCACAGATCTAACAATTCAGGGAAGATTAGATAATCTATGGTTCGAGGCAGCAGCATCGTGCAAGATCCGTGGTCCTCACATGCGAAGGAAGACGATCTCTTCAAGCCGCTGCAAGCGCAAGGCATCTTTTATGCAGGGTTCGTCGTCGTGTCGCCCGGTTTGAGACACACCTGCAATATTCAAACCAAGGAGCAGGAGCAGTGTAAGCTGACAGGGGAAACAAGTTCAGATTCTCAAGGGAAGATCAAAATGGAGTTCCGTGAACCTGGACCGACGAAGGGAGACAGGGTTCAAGACCCTTGAACAGGGGACATAGGTCTCTGTAAGCAGCCAGGGGAACTGCAATAACGACATGGAGCTACAGCAGCATCCTGCACAGCCAGTAGGTCTCTGGTCTAGGCCTCAAAGTTAAGATGACATGCTCTAAGACTGTCTCCAATGAAGAGACCCAAACCCAAAATCCCGAGCGGCACAAGATTTCTTCTCCTAGCCTCAATTAAGATGACATGCTCTAAACAATGAAGAGACCCAAACCCAAAATGGACGATTTTGCTTTTGCCGCCAAATCCATCGTCCAACAACTGCCACGCAAAGACCCGCCTCTTGCTCTCTCGCCGCCAAAATCGCTGAAGCCGCGCCTCTCTCTCTCCTCGGCCAATCGCCGAAGCTCGCCATGCTACTCGGCCCAAGCTTCGCCAAGCCCATGCGACGGGCGGAGCTTCGCCGCACACGAGGGCGGAGCTCGCGCCCGCCGCCCGTGTTGGAGGAGGAGCGCGTGGCGAGGAGGGGAGTGGCCGTCGGGGAGCGGGGCCAGGCCGCCGGAGCAGGAGGCCGCGCGTGGGGGTGGACGGCCACGGGGCCGTCGGAGCGGGATCCGGCGCCAAGCGGGGCCGTCGATCCGCCAGAGCTGGACGGCCACGGGGCCGCCGGAGCCGATCCGGCCATGGGCTGCCGATCCGCTGTAGCCGGGGCGGCCACGGGCCGCCGGAGCCGGATCCGGCCACGGGCCGCCGATCCGCCGAGCTGACGGCCACCGGCCGCCGGAGGCGGATCCGGCCATGGGCCGATCCGCGCAGGACCGGATCGATCCGGCCGGAGCTAGATCCGGCCAGCAGGGCCGCCGTCGATCCGCCGGAGCTGGAGGTGCCTAGGGCGGCGGACTCGCCTGAGATGGGAGAGGGAAGAGAGAGAGAGAGAGAGAGAGAGAGAGAGGGAGCCGTGGTGGAGAAAGAGCGCCACCCGTGCTCCCCATCCCGGGCGCGTCGTGCTCAAGGCCCGTCTTTGGAGAAGGCGCCGCCGGCCGCCAGAAGAAGGAGCGCGCGCCATGCTTCGTGCTTGGACCGCCCAGCGTGCCGGAGGGGAGGGAGAGGGCGTCGGGCCGGGCGCCGGGATGGGGAGGGCAAGGGAGGGACGGGCGCCACTGGGATGGAGGGGACGGAGAGAGGCGTCGGGCTGGGGCTGGGGGAGGGAGGCGTGTCAGGCCGGGGACTTGGAGATGGGTGGGCGGCAGAGAGAGCAAGGAAGAAGAAGCTGATTTGCGTTGAACCTGTTGGAGAACGTAAGTTTTAGGTTGGCACCTATTCTACTGTGCATCACCTAAATCAGGCAAATGGATGCCGTATATAGGTCTCATGGTTGGAGACAGTCTAACTGTCTAAGGCCTATTTAGTTCCAAAAATTTTCACCCCAAACTATCACATCGAATCTTGCGGCACATGTATGGAGTATTAAATATAGACGAAAAAAAACTAATTGCACAGTTTGGTTGGAAAATCGCGAGACAAATGTTTTAAGATTAATTAGTCCATGATTAGCCATAAGTGCTACAGTAACTAATATGCACTAATGGTGGATTAATTAGGCTTAATAAATTCGTCTCGCAGTTTCCAGACGAGATATGTAATTAGTTTTTTTATTAGTATCCAAAAACCCCTTCCGACATCCCCGAAACATCCGATGTGACATCAAAAATTTTCATTTCGCGAACTAAACGCAACGATACAATAAGGTTTAGTTAGTGGCGTAGACCTGCTTGTAGCACACAAAACAAGCACCGGTCTTGACTCATCAATTACAAGTAGGCACATGGTGCGGTCTTAATGCACATGGAAGATCACAAATAAGTATACAGGCGCTGATCATAAGCTAGATCATACAATCTCTAAATAAAACCAACAGTATTCCCGTAAATGAAGCATCGAAAGTTCAAAACAACACGAAAATGAATAGAATGTACTCGACAATGGTTTACTTCCATGCATGTTCCTTTCTTAAACTACAAGATTCTACACCCTTAGCCCTTGGGCAATGCCAGAAACTCTTATTGTTTACTATCAGCATCCCAGTTGCCTACTCTGGTAGGTAATGTCTAAGCCACTTTATGTTTACTATAAGCATCCCAGTTGATTAAAAAACACTCTTGGTTTCAAGGAGCAATGACCTCTATGTTTACTATAAAGGTGTGCATGATATCATAAAACTTAAGATGAGACGCACAAGACACAGTAGCAATCTAAATGATTTCATGTTAGTCGATACACAAAAGACAGCTTTGCCAGGTATAGACATGAATGACATTGCTGCTGTGTTGTCATTGGTCTTCTGGTCTTTGTTCCATAACTTAGAAACAGATCAGACAGGGCAACTATGCATCAATTACTGTCGACCATAATATGACAGATTCTGAACTTCTGATTGTACTTTATCGAACATCATAGTACATTTTTTGCCCCCACCAGCCTTAGCTTCCCAGTAGCACAGATCTGGAGCCCCTTTACTCAAAGAACACATCATCATTAAGAACATGACCCTGGACAACCCATGGATGTCAATGATCACATCATTATAACCATATCAAACAGAAACTGGAGCAACAGATAGTCTAAACCACTCCACCCAAATACAAATATAACAGAATCAGATCAACATTTTTGGCATGCACTACTAATACCAAGTGTCAGTTTATAGAACATCTAGTTCATAATCTGAACTTGTCATGGCTTGAATTTTCATTAAAAGTATTCCAATAATGTAACAATTTTGTGATTTATAAAAGCATATTACTAAAAAAGTAGTTGTCCAAGTGATACATTGTATACAACACATGCTGATGGTCAAAGCAACTTATATAGCTATATTTGCAATTTGAGGTAGCAGCAGTTAAACTTTACCAAGATGTTTCCAATAAATGGACGTTCAGGATTACAGAAGAGGTGACAAACCTCATTTGTGGTATAAAAAGTGGACACATATGAGATTTCACCTAGTGCTACTCCAAACATGCATACAAAGAACGATGCACATTCTCTATTTGAAACCAGACATACGATATATATATATATATATATATATATATAATGTAATTTTGTACCAATTTACGATAACATGAATATGCATTTACCATACTCGTGTTACTACAACTCACGGTGATATTTACCATAATGTTATAGTAAATCACTTAGTAAGGAGTTACTGTAGTATCGTAAATTAGCATACTAACTATCGTAACTCAAAGTGGCCACGGAATAAGTTATTCTATATGAGCAGCTGTAGAACAATAGTTCTATATATATATATATATATATATATATATATATATAAAGTTGAATATTTGCCAATATTGTCAGATTGTCAAATTTTGTAACTGAGCAAGTGCCAAAATCAATTCAGTACAATTCAGATGATATACTAGTATATACCGGGACTGTAGCACAAATAGGACAATATGAAGGAAAATGGTTAGTCGAACTTCGCTAGACACTGTTCAACTTTCAGGAAGTAATATGGAAATTGCCATGGATTCTGCTTGCCATTATGGCAGTGGTGTGTAAATGTAAGGATTCACTGATTGAATTACTGACTGATGCAAGAACACATTTTTGTTTGTGTAACAGTAGCAATGTAGCTTGTAAACAGTAGCAATGAACTAGAACTCACAGATCAGCGCATTAGACATTATCAATGCCAACTGCCATGGCAATATATTGTCACAATGCTTTCTCAGAAACAGGTAACATGCACAGACTGTCATAAAATATGAGACCTGTGAGGAATGTTACACATGTGACTTGACTAACTCTCTAAAGCTAAAATTATAGAATGGTAGCTGTTTTAGGATTGTCACCGACAGGGAGCTCCCAGCATTTCGATGAATGAAAAAAAAAAACTGATGTGTGTCGCCTGGTGTCTGTCAAGCCATTCGGTGTAAGACTTGGTCCTTTTACACTACAACCCTCTTCCTCCAGAGATTCTAACTTTTTTTAGTTGTAGCTAACTAGCTAATAGTTGCAGCAAGATCAGTTTGTTTGGATGTGCCTACCGAGCAAAGTCAATAATTCAATGCATGGTAAAGATGTGCATGATGTCATAAAACTCAAAATGATATTCACAGTACACAATTAGCTGTCTAATTATTTCATGACGGGCAATGCAGAAATGACAGCTTTTCCAGGTGGAGACATGAATGGCCACAATTGCTTGATTTTGTCAGTGATTTGCTGGTCCTTGCTCCAAAACTTAGGAACAGATCAGAAAGAGCAACCACATGTCAATTATTGTCCATGATAACATGACACCATCTGAATGAACATTACAGTACATTTTGCCCCCACAAATACCAGATTTTAGAACTATAGAATTGTTGACCCTTTACTCAAAGAGCTTTGCATCATCATTCAGAAGATGACCCGAGACAACACATGGATGTCAATGATGGCATGATTATATCCATAGCAAACAACACCCAGAGTACAAAGCCAAAGGATAGTTTAAATTACTCCATCCAATTGCAAATGCAAGTCATCACAGCCATCACATTCTTCGTTTGGACTGCCAAGTATCAGTATACTGAAAACAAATTAGATTAATAATATGCAATTGGTATGACTGTTGTATTTCAATAATGTACAACTGTAATGGTTTTTAAATAGCAATGATCAAAGTGATATACGATACCAAAAAATTCATGGTCAAGGTGATATAATGTCTCAATGGTCAAAACGATATACACTTGCAATCAGACATATATACCTACATGCTTCAAAAAGAAAAAAAAACTAAACCTGTGAGATTCCAACAGACTAATAAGTATGATATTTCACCTAAGGGTGCTCCACTCATATATACAAAGAAGTAAAGAACAATAACAATTCTATGTTTGAACCAGAAAGATGATATAAATCTGATTGCTTTTCAATATGGACCCATATACGGAGTACTATCATTGAGCAAGTACCAAGACCAAGACTGATTCAATGGAACTCAGAGCATTTAATGCTTGTCAGGAACTATAGCACCGACAGGGCATTTCGAAAGCAAATGATTACTCGATCTTTGCTGGATGCTCTTATGCTTTCAGGTTATCGTTGTGGGTTTTGTTATACTTGCAGGTAGGCGTGTGCAGATGAACTAGTTTTTCACAAAACTTTCCTGTGCAAAAATGTTCTTACAAAACCATGAAAGCACATAAAATCCTAGAGGCCCACCGGTAGAATCATAATGCATTATGTGGAATGACAAACAAAATGGTACAAGAATAGAATCTTTCAAAACAGAACAAAAAAAAATTAGAAAGTTTCCAAAATGTTGGCGTCCAGTTTAAATCCAAAATAATAAGAATAAAAATGATTTTATGCAAACAAGATGTATTTCTAGAAAAGTGAGGTCAGCAATTTCAGTACAAGTGGATAACCTAATGCAACACAATTAAGTTGAGGAAACATATGTTCAGCAGGGGCACACTGACAATATGTTGTCAATAACAAGACAGTATGTAGTCACAATGATTCCCCCATCAAAAGGACAATTCATTCAGGCAAAAAGATGATTGGTACAAACTATTGTACATATTTGATGCACTGTAGAAACGCTAGACTTGTGACTTGACTAACTAACTAAAGTTAGAATTATAGAATAGCAGCAGCTTTAGAAGTGTCACCAGTATGAGAGGGCACATGCACTCAACGTTCCGAAGAACGAAAAAATCCTCACTTCAAAACTTCTTATGAGACTGTTCCCTGATTCCTGTCAAGTTGTCTGGATTAAGTCTTGGTTTTTTTGTGCTACATCCCCCTTCCTCCAGAGATTTCAACTTGTTTTTTATAGCAGCTATCTTTGCAGCTCGATCAGTATATTGTGATTTGCCTCCTGAACCACCCGCCAGCTTCTTGTCTTTGACTGCTCTATGTGAACTTGAAGAGTCTAGAGAACTTTTCTCACTAGCAAGGTGAACTACCATTGGGCGTCCGCAGACTAACTTTCCATTCATCTTCTCCTTTGCTAACTGAGCTTCCTGCATGCTTACTTCAGGTGGCAAAGGTGAGAACCGAGAATACCATAACCAACTGTCATTTGCCACAGGAGATGTATACTACAATTACCTCTTTAGTGGTGTATTGAACAAAGGCATAGCCCCGGGGTTCGCCTCTCTTTGGACCGCGTGTGTGCCACAGGAAATCCTCGGCTGTAATCTTTCCAAAGGGGGAAAACATCTTGATTACATCGGACCTGAAAAAATAACACAACAATGTTAACTTGTAGAACACAAGGACAAGCCTTGAAAAGAAGCAAATAGATATACAAGAAACAAGTAACTCACTCTGATATCCTGAAGTCCAGGTTCCCTACATAGAGCCTGCACTCCAGTTTATCTGCCTCAAGACCTTTCATGTCCTGCAACTTAATTTGGTTAGAAACAGCATTTATCAACGCTGAACAATCAGCTATTTCTAATTCAGAGCAACATACCATTTCTGCTTGCAGCCTAAGATAGACAATTCAGTAAAAATACATCCAGGGGTGGACGGCATACACCCGATAATTTTTGCAAAAAATATCGAAGTTAGTAGGCAGCATAATACATGTATATACTTGTATAATTAGATCAGACCCGAATACAGATAGCTTGTGTTAGGGTTTGGGTGCTTGGTTGATCCACCCAGCCCATATACTGATAATTCACAAAAGCTAAGGATAAAATGAATCATTTAGTCGATCACTCATTTTGCATTGCTAACTCCTGTCCCGACTGTTGGTTGTTCTTCTATGCCGACTGTTTCAGGTTCTTGTATAGAAGTTTGGCTTTACATTGGTTGTAAAATAGGTGCAGGAATAGGAGTAGGATAGAAAATTGACTTCAATGTCTTGGTCCTCTTCATTCTACAATTCTAATGTTGTACAAGTCTCAAGAAAATTGAGGAATTTAGGATCGAAATAGATATTGCAGTATCCGAAGTGGGAATTATATTACCTGTCCCCTGCTGATGTTGTCGCTGGCTGCTGCAGCCGACCTGCCCGGTGCCCCCCTGCTGGCCGCTGGCGTGCTGTCGTGCTGCACCCTTTAGTCCTTCACTGCTGCCCGCCTGCCCAGCCCCGGTGGCCGGTGCTCCACGCCGGCAGCCTCCAGCGAAACCCCACCAGCCGCCCGACGCCCCCGAGTCCCCAGTCGCCGATCCGTCCTCCAGCGGACCGCCTCCCGCCCGCAGGCCGTAGATTTGGTCGCTGCGCCGGTTGATCTGGCTGCTCCGGCCGCCGATCGCCACTAGGCCACCGGGTTTTCGACGGTCTGCAAGGGCAGTCAGGCAGACGCCGCGGCCCCACGGGAGAGGAGGACTGCGTGGTGCGCGCACGCGAGGGCGATGCGAATCTAAAGATATGATTTGGTGTGGGCGCAGCCTCAGGGTGCTGGGCTGAATGGGACGAGTTAAGCACTTAGCCTGGGCCGCACAAAAAAAATCTCTTTAAGTTTCGAAATCGAGTTTGGGCTAAGCTTTATAAAAACGGGTTTTTATTTCCAAATCAACCACGTCTGGGGGGATGTGGCTTTGTTTGCAAAAACCTCCACTTTAGCGAAAATCTCGCTTCCCGGATGTGCTCATCTGTTTTTTTCAACAACAAACTCAATTTCAATTAATCTTTTTTCCTCAAAACGAATTGTTAGGAGTTTGAAGGACCCCTAGTTTACAGAAGGGGAGACAGACGAAGAAGTTTGCTGGGCTGAATGGAACGAGTTACTCTAGGCACTTAGCCTGGGCCGCACATATGGCCAGATCGAGTTTGGGCTAAGCTTTCAAGGGGTTTTATTTGGGCCACGTCTAGGATGTGGCTTTACTGGCCCTAAGCCTAAATGTGCTCCTGTTTTTTTTAACAACAAACTCAATTTCAAAAACAACGAATTGTTAGGAGTTTGAAGGACTCCTAGTTTACAGCAGCGAGTGCTTCCCTTAAGTGAGAGGCATGAGCCGGATTTCAAACATAGTATAGAGTGTGAGGGAGAAAGAGAGGACATGGCTACGTGAACTTGCTTAGCTAACGGGTGATGCGTGTGAAGGTTCCTCCCAATCTTGAAGATGTTGTATTGGTTTCTCTATTGCAATCGATGAACTTCTAAGCAAGTACTTTGATCCTCCAATTGGACGGTGAAGAGAAATTTGTATTGTTCAAGAAGGGCACTAGTTCTTTTTTTGCGATCGAGCCATTCACCCGTTTTTCATTAAGAGGATAAAAGTCCAACCAAAACACAAAGCGCTTACACGAAGGCGAGGGGCCGTCGTGAGCCCGCGCAGAGCACCTAGCTACTGGATGCTAACAGCACTAATTACATGACCACAACACTGCACGACCAAAGCGGGCAAACAACAGCCAAAGTCTTGAAGCCGATAGCCCATCTGCCGCAGCCGCCAAGTTGCAACATCCTCAGCTCCTTCCGGCACCAGCGCCGATAGCCCAACCGGCGCCAGGAGGGAGAACCACAGTTCCCTTGCGACCACGCACCCCAGGAATAGGTGTTCGCTGGTTTCTGCGGACTGACCACAGAGGGCACAAGCATCATCGTCCTGTAGGCCTTGCCGCCTACGACGATCAGTAGTCCACAGCCGGCGGTGAAGGGCAAGCCAGAAGAAGAACTTCACCCGAGGTGGCGCCTTGGTCTTCCACAGCTCTTTAGCGCCAAGCAGCGACGTCGAGCCAGCAAAGAAGGCTCGGTAGGTGGACGAGGCTGAGTACTTTCCGTCGCTCGACCATTTCCAGACGAAACGGTCTGCCTGCATCGGTTCCAGCACCTGATGTGGTGCCAGCAAAGAGGGCACTAGTTCTTTATTATCCGACAGGTAATTTGGGTTTTGAAGATTGACCAAAGAAGCAACTGATGTAGCCAAAGCTAGAGTTGCGGCCTCCACCACGATCACTGATGTGGTGTTGCTCATCCCTCCATGTATGCATATAGATTGTGTTGGCTGAACCAAGAATATCGACAAGCTAGAGCCTAACAGCTTCAACACATACAAAGGACTACACGGCAGTATAATTTGTGACCGTGGATACAACAAGGCAAAGCGTTGGGGGCTTGGCCTACTTGACGTCCGTCACCGGACCACGACGCCGGCGCCTCCCAGGAAAGAGTACCCGTATGACTTTAGTGGCGCGGTGAAAGTTTAATGAAATTCTTCAAAGGACGTCTCATGAGGCTTCGCTGTCTGGACCTGTAGCCCGAGCTTTTTCATTAGCACCTTTCTTGCCTGGGCCTCAGGCTTCGATGTTCTGAACTTGTTTTTAGTAGCTAAACCGGCGCTGCGCTTGGGGTGGGTTGACAACGAGTTATTGAACACATTGCATCAGCACTTGAAAACGAATTCTGTCATATAACTGCTTCGTATAGAGTTTTCATTCCACAAACTGGTTGCTAATTGAACACAAACCGTCCCCGGAATCCGGCGCACAGGACGGCTCACTAAGACTAAACACGCACGAAGTTAAGCACCATCATCCAGACTCCTTCCAGCTATTGCAAGTCAACTGACTGAGCTATTACTAATAGCCTATTAGTCGGCCCAACATTAGCTAGCTCTGCCTGCTGTTCGTTCTGATCCGCTAATTCCTCTTTCCCTCTCCTAATCCATCCCACTGCGTCTGCGAGAGCCACGATGCAGAATGTTAGGCCAGAGGGTATCATGCATGTGCATACGATGCATGCATAGTTGTGAGATTGGCACTTACCTATATGAATTAATTAAACCTTGGCGAACTCGCCGTCCCTGCACACACCGACGTCGATGGTCATCGAACGGTCCTTCCCCTGCTTCGGCGACGACACCACCCTGCAGCAGTTCCTCCTCGGCGACTGCACAGCACAGGCCATATCTATCCAACTTAACGAACCAAACATGGCCGTACGTGCCAACGAACCCAGAACGCACGTACCCTCTTCCAGAGGTCGGGGTCGGGCTTCTTGAGCACGACGATGCTGTCGAGCAGCGCGGCGGGGTCGGCGATGCGCCACCGGCATCCGGGGTGCTTCACCCGGTGCCGCTCGTACTCCGTCACGGTCACGTTCCGACGCCGGTCCATCCGGCTCCCGCGCATGTAGTACACGTGCGGCTTCTGGCACGGCTGCCGCGCCACGGGCCGCGTGTTGAACGAGTAGGCCGTGTAGTCGGCGCGCTTGTACCAGTTGAGGAAGCTGCGCATGGGCGTTTCCATCTCCCGCGGCGACAGCACCCCGCGCACCACCATCACCGCGAACCCCCACGACACGGACACCGTCCACTGGTGCGCGTGGTCGTAGCACACCGACTGCTGCGCCACCGCCGCCGAGTCCAGCCGCACGGGCCCGTCGAACAGCCTGCGCAGCGCCCCGGCCCGCGACGGCGTCGTCGGGAACACCGGCTCCAGGAAGTCGAGGTGGTGCAGCGTCACCAGCGGAGCCACGGGGTGCGCGCCCAGCAGGCCCAGCACGTCGCCCCACAGGTCGCACTGGTGGAACCCCGGGTGGCGCGCCAGCGGCACGCCCAGCTCCGACATGCACGCGTGGATGCGGTCGTCGCTGCCGTACAGCGCCGGGTACCGGTGCAGGCACCCGTCCTGCATCTTCGCCAGCTCCGACGCCAGCGCGCGGCTGATGGCGAACCCGCCGCCGCCGAACGCCATGCCGTACGAGAAGATGAGGTTCTGGATGTGGCTCTCCGACGGCGAACCGATGTAGTACGGCTGCCGGTGGTCGTACTGGGACAGCACGTGCACCAGGTTCTCCGGCAGGAAGACCGTGTCGTCGTCGCCCATCACGAACCACCGCACGCCGGGGAGCCCCAGCCGGAACGTCTCGGAGACGATGCGTGAGATCCGGAGGGCCGAGCGGCTACCGGCGCCGTGGGTGTAGGGGAACTTGGACGTGTCCGAGCTCACCATGATCGCGGGGAGGCCCGTGCGGGAGCTCTTGGAGTAGAACTCCCCCACGGGCTTGTCCATCCAGACGAAGCCGCGCATCCGCCCGGGACGCCACCACAGCTTGATATACTCCTTCCGGCTCTCCCACAGCGACGCCGACGCGCCGATGCCGAACACGAGATGGCGTAGCCCGGTGGGCGCTTCCTCTGCCGTCAGCCTCATCGTCTTGGACCCTGGAGCCGGTGGCGGAGAAGCTGACGACGACGACGAAGCGTTCAGCGACGTGGCCAACGAAGCGTTGTTGGGCTTATTAGCCACCACGAAATGTGTCGCCATGGCGTTGCCCTCTGGCGAGCACCGGGGGTTGTAGAACTGCGAAGCGGCAATGACGACGAAGTACAAGACCAGCACCGGCAGGACGACGTAGAGGAGGAGGCCGTTGAGGAAAGAAGTCTTGGCGGCGGCCCCCTTCCCCGCAGCGCCGGCGCCGTACACGGCAGCGGCGCCGTGCGCGACATTGGCCTCCTTGTAGTGGAGCTTCTCTCCAGCTCCTCCTCCCCTCATGCCAATGCCGTCGTCGTCTGGAGCGGTCGAGGCTAGCAAATCGCAATGGTGGATGCTGACGAGTTTCTAAAAAAGGGCATGGTAATTGTGGTGGTGAATTGGTTAATTGAGTGGGTAGACGTTCTCTTCTCTACGGTGCGGAGGACGCCTAGCATGTTTGCATGCATATATTTCCTCACTTGTGTCCTGGTCAATGGCTGCATCACTTATTTTGGATCTTTCTCACACAGGGCGCTAGTGTTGATCAAGTCCATACCGAGAGAGCATTTTTTTATTAATGGAGTATATATCCCAATGTTTATGTTGGAGAGGATGCACATAACTTGTACTTATTATAAGTTATAACATCTAACCTCGTTGCACAAAGCATCGAGTCTTAATAATGAACAAAACGATGAAAACATCTTTTGTTTCACTATATATCTAGCATAATCCGTTGCAACCTCCATTTATGATTGGCAAAGATGTGATTTGAGGTCATTACCAAAGTGTGATGTGCCAAGTGAAGAAGAGTCTGGCTCTCTCTCTTTACGATAATGCTCTACCAAGGGCATCTGTCCATGCGTGACCGTCTGGATGCCCCATTTCCAGGCCTGTGCAGCATCGGGCCCAACAGGCCTGCTCCGCTCGTCCTTCATGGCTTCACGGTGTCTAAAAAAGACAATGACATTTCTTTTTCCCACTGCCGCACGCATCCAACCGCCGCGGGCGCCTACATCGTGCCGCTCGTCTTCTCTAGGGCGGGTTCCACTTGCACGGGCAACGCACCATGCCGCATCCAGTGCTGCTCCGCGCCCTGTGCCGCGCCCCCATCCACCTCACTCGTCACGACCATGGCGTGCACCGCGTCCGGCCAAGGACACCGTGGTACGAAGGGAGGTCTGCGCCTACGTCTACACCTGCTCCTACGCCTTGGGTGTACGCTGGGCCGTTGCTCTCGATGTCCCCCTAACCTGTAGTTCTCCACCAGGTAGGCCATGGCCGCTGGCGACACTGTGTTTCAAGTGTTTCTGGCGTTCAGACGATGTATTTCAAGTGTTTCATCTAGATGTTTTAGTTGTTTCAAACGTATGTTTCAAATGCATTATTTGGATGTTGCATATGTTTGCTATGACTTTACCCAAATGTTTCAGACTTATGTTGCAAGTGTTTCATCTGGATGTTGCACAAGTAGATCTGGATGTTGCATATGATGCTATACCTATACACGCATGTTTCAAGCGCATGTTTCAAGTGTTTCATCTGTTTCAGACGTATGTTGCAAATGTTTCATTTGGATGTTTCACAAGTAGATCTGGTGTTGCACGACGTCGATGGCTAGCGGACAGCGGCCTGCCGCAGCCGTGCCTGCTGCTGCTGGGGGCGCTGCCATGGGTCACAGTGCGGACGCCCGAGGCTAGCAGCGCGGCGCAAATCCGTAGGCGGGGCAGGTGACTGGGACCCACATGGGTTTCCTGTGTGGGCGCGGGTCCTGCGTCCGGGTTCGGACACAGACGATGGTGCTGGGCGGGATGCGGACGCAGGGCGTAGGACGGGATGCGGGCGCGGGAGCAGTGTCCGAACGCGACGTCCGTCCGGATGTCCTGGCGCTAGCTCTTCCGATTGACAAATATGAAGTAACATGATCTTCCATTTTAAGTCATCAGCGTCGAAAACGTTAGATTAGGACAATGATTCAGACATAGTATGCATACATCTAAGACTGCGAGGCATGTACGGTGATTTTGTATACAAAGGATGAATAGGTGATACACTAAGTGTAACTAATCAACCTCATGCAAACTTGCAAACTTAAGACTATCTCCAACAATAAGACCTTTAGCAAGAGACCCATTTGACGGTATGTATCACGCTACAGCACAAGGGTCACGTACCTATTTCTTGCCCTCTCCAACGGGGAATGCAAAAGAGAATCAAAATGTATCAAGAAGAGAGGATACTCATATTTAGGTTCTGTCTCGTCTCACACCCAAAATGGATCTTTCGTATGGGTACTCTGTTGGACCGTATTTTCTTTCCCTAGAGCATGCATTTTGGGTTTGGCTGCCCTTATGCCTAGCCTGTTGGAGATTCTCAAAACGATACTCTGTCAAACGAACTCAGAAACACACGAAACAGGGTAACAATGTGCTATGTTACTTGATGGCAAAAAAAGTGCTATGTTACTAGAAGATACCTTGCGCATTGCTGCGGAGATTGCTAATAATTTGGAATGAAATTAAGTATAGATGGCGTGGATAGCTTGCATTAAGAGGTTGAAAGTTAGTGACGTGACATGACTATTAAGAGGTCGAATGGAGCGAAGAGGACATGCAACGGTCGGCGTCACGGTAGCCGCGGAACTGCCCGCGCTAGTGGAAAGGAGGAGAAGGGTAGGAGGCGCCAAAACCATGGATCCGCCCATGCTGGTGGAAGGGAAGAGAAAGTGAGGCGCGGTGGAGCGAGGTGGTGGCGGACTGGCAGAGCCTGGCAGAGGTGTGGCGAGTGATGATGGGAGCGAGTGAGAGATCAAGAGGCGAGCCATGCGCTGGCCAAACCTGGCTAGTGGGAAGTGCCCCGCCGCCGCATTCCAAGCTAGCCAGGCACGAGCAGTCGCTGCTCTTGCCGAGCAAGGCTAACAGGCCTGATCAGCTCACCAAACATCCTCAAGGTGGTTTCCTCCTAGAGCTTGAATAGGAGTTAGCCACTCAACCAAACAACCCCATAACAACTAGCAAACATACAAGGGCGTTGCAACTAAACATAAAGTTTGAATTATCTGTTCTAATATGTCTTAGAATCAGACCATGTATAGTGCGTAGATGTGTGTTATTCTAACTCATATGCGCATGAGCCCTGAACCACATAGTTCTTTTATAATTCAACGTATAATCAAACCATATATAGTGTCTAGATGCATGTTATTCTAACTCATATCGGTACAAGTCTCGAACCAAGCAGTTTTTTTTATAATTTATCGTATACTACTACTCTTAATAATACCAGCCAGCACTGTTAAGCCCAACGGAGAGTGGAGGGACGGACAGGTGGGGGAGGGAGTGACAGACTGAGAGATGGAGAAAGAAATTTTCTTCACAGTAAACATGCCTATGCGTTGTCCCAAAATATTTGACCTTCCACTTTCCAACACATCTTTCTCTTTTCTAATACAATTTTCTCTTTTTTCAATACATTTCTATCTCTACCTCTCTCTATCTCTCACCTTCTCAATTTCTGTGCATCATATTTTGTGGTCCACCTGGGTCTAGATTACTGCCTGGCCTAAGTGACCATCCAAACACGCATGCACCTTATGATCATTAAGCTACATTTTTGTGGTTATATGGCAACCTCGATGTTCTACTCGGTAGATTTGTCTTACAGTGTTCTTCACCAATTAATTTCCTGAGATGACAAGAACATAACATGAATTGATTCTATTAGAAATCACAGATTTAGTTAGCAACTACATTACTTCACAACGATTGCCTGGTTACCTTATCAGGAAAAGAGCATCACAATCACCACGTAGAAAACTAGTCAGTCTACAAATGGTACAAACGACAAAGAAAGCTGATGAAACATCATTCATCGCCTGTACCATGTTGAACTGGCTCTTATTAATTCCCTTCCTCCTTTTTCATCCATACCTAAGCAAATAATTTGGAAATTAACAACAGAGTGGATATGTATTCATGCCAAATCTACCAAGCTCAGCAAATGGACAAAATTATGTTCACCAAATGCGATGAAAAGCACAAATTTAATAGGAGCTACCAAATTTAACAATTTTGTGAACCAAAAAATTGCTTCATAGGAACTAACATATTTTAGCACTTGTAGTTTTTCACATAAAGTATCCCATACAATTTTTTTTTACTTTATGAACCATTTTCATGATATAGAGGTACTTTATGAGAAAATGAGGTCATATCATCAGCCAACAAAATTATTAACAGGCTATTTTTACAGTGTTAAAAAAAACTGGTCAGCCATGACTTTGACTGGAGCGACAATACCAATTTGGGCACATGTGACGCGTTGGGTTAGAGTAATGATCCAAAGATCAGGGATGGGTCACTCACCCTCTTCTATGGGCACTAGCTTTGCCACGCTAAAGAGAGGCTGAGGCTTAGTTAACTATTGGTTTCTCATGCTGAACACCTTTTTGTTTCATGGGAATAATAGACACTCATCATACTGCTGCAGGGTACATTGGGCATATTAGTGTTAGTGGAGTACATGGGTCTCTTTTTAGGTAAGGCATGGCCGTGGTTTAGTAACAATGAACATACTAGGTACCTGCAGTACTAACAAAAAATTCCTCGACCATATGGGGTGTGTGTGTGTGGGGGGGGGGGGGGGGGGGGGGGGGGGGGGAGGCCCCCCGGCCTTTGTTCTAAGAAGGTGTTGTGCTTCGAACCCGGGTCAGACATGAGTTTCAACGGCTCCAGAAGTTCAAAGGTCTAGCCGGTCCACCGCAAGAAGCATAGCATAAGAATACTAACCTCTTTCATTGGATCTTTAATAACACTATAGCGGATTGTGGACTTCCACGTCGAGACTGAGCGGCGGCTGCAGTCCGGCCGTAAACGCTTGTACGCGCTGTGCCTCCGTGAGCGTGCCGACGTGAGGAAGCAACGCCTCAAAGCGGTTCTGGTACTCTGCTACCGAGCTCGACCGCTTGCACGCCATCAGCTCACCAAGGGGATTGGAGCGGATCGGCGACCCAAAGCGAAGGTTGAGGAGCTCGGAGAAGCGGCACCAAGACGGCATACCCTCGTCCTGCTACACTTGGATGAACCGCATCTGGGCGATGACGCCATCCAAACTTGCTCCTCAGCTGCAATACGTTGTTGATGGAAATACGACTCACATCGGTTAAGGAAGGCCAGCGGATCAGATTTCCCGTCGAACTTGGAAAAGTCCAGCTTCTAGAACCGAGGTGGACGGTCCCCGTGGTGGTCCCTGTGGCCCGAGCCGTGCGATCCTGAGCTGGAGAACGCCTGTGGCTGCGCCTG